GAGGGGGCCGCATGCTGTGGTTCTCTTGAAGTCATGGTATGTGACGGCTCCCCAGCCGGTGTTGCCTTGTTTGTCCTGCGACCCGTCCGAGTAAGCAAGGAGGGTGGACCTGGGGAGGCCGTCGAGTAGTTCTAGGTGTTTCTCCGCTGCCTCTGACTTCGGTAGGCCTCTGAAGTCCGGGCCTGCTCGGACCGCTCCGTTGTTCTTGGCGAACAGGGAGGGTCGGACTGTTTTCCCTACTAGGGCTGCGGTGCGTTGCAGTCGGGTGGGGGGAACCCTGGGGGGGAGTTTCTTGTCGATGCGTCTGCTGATCGGGTGGTTTCTGTCCAGACCCGCGAAGCGAGCCGCTGTGCGGAGTCTTGTCTGTGCCACCCATACTGACGCCGGGGGGACTCCCGATTCTCTGTGTATGACGGAGAGGTTGGTCGTCTTCCACACGGGGACAACTGCTCTGGCTGCTGTTTTGAATGGGGGTTCCAGGATCGCGGTCAGTCCCGTCGAGCCTGTTCCCACTTGTCTGTTTGGGTTCGTCGCGCTCTGTCTGCTCTCGCCGGGCCAAAAAGCCTCCGTCCCGTATAGGGCTACAGGGGCGACGCAGGCCTTGGCTGCCATGGCCACCGCGTCTGGCGGGGATCCTTTTTGTGTCTTGTTCAGAGATCTTAGGAAATTGGCCGCTTTGAGGGCTTTTCCCTTCATGATCCCGAGGTGTTTTTTGAAGGAGAGCCGCGAGTCCAGGTGTATCCCTAACCACCGGACCGAGTCCTGGGGGGCTATGATCTTTCCTCTGAAGTCCACTCCCTCGTCGTGTGCTTGGGTTCTGGTCCTGTAGAAGTGTATGAGTTCGGCCTTGTCCGGGTCGAAGGAGACCGCGTTCCTGTCACCCCAGTTTAGGGTGTCTTCCAATTCCCACTGGAGCTTCTGGGCGGTTTCTTTGGTGTCGGCCCCCACTGCCATNATGCCAATGTCGTCCGCGTACCCGAAGCGGGTGTTGGGGTCATTGAGCTTCAGGCTGGGGGAAAAATAGAGCATGGAGACGATGGGGGAGATGGGGGACCCCTGTGGGGCTCCGCATTCCAGCTCCGTCTCCGGGAGGGTGGTCCCGTATCCGTTTCGAACAAGAGCCTTGCGGTCGCTCATGAAGGAGTCGACCCATTTCACAAAGAGGGGGGGCCAACCTTGTTCCCTGAGTCTGTACACCAGGCGGTTGCGCATGACGATGTCGAACGCGCCGGAGATATCGAGTGTAAGGAGGGAGATGACGAGACCCTGGGCCAGGGCGACTTCGGCGTCGTGTAGCAAGCAGGCGACCAGGTCTGTCGCGGACCTTTTTGGGAGAGCCCCGAAATATTGTTCTGGCAGTATTTTGTGTTCCATCGCTAGGAGGGAGACTCTTCTAGCTAGGAGTCTCTCGAGGCCTTTGCCTATACAGGAGAGCAGGGAGATGGGTCTATAGCCTTTGTGCGTAGTGTACGCCTTCTCCGGCTTCCCAGGTTTGGGGATGATGGTGATCTCCGCGCTCCGGAAGGGGAGTGGGTGGTGTCCTATCATCAGGCATCCGCGGAAAAGGTTGGTTACGTACTCGCCGATGGCAGGCCAGGCGAGCTGTAGAAGGGCGACTGATATGCCGTCTGCGCCGGGCGCGGTGTTTCCTGACCCCGTTGTGGCTTTCTTGGCCTCCGGCTCCGACACTGTTTGGTCCCAGTGGATGTTCTTGTTGACGGGAAAGTCCTCTTCCCATGGGTCTGAGATGTCCTCCTCTGTTGTCTTTCGCTTGAGAAGTTTGTCTCTGAGGAAAGTCGCTCTCTCCGTGGGGTCTGAGATGCTTTTGTCCCCGTCTATCAGGGGGGGCGGTTGAAAGCGGTCCGTCGCCTTGCGCCACTTGGCCACTGACCAAATGTTCCTAGTGGCGCTGGCTTCCGCTATGATCTCGTCCCAGTGGGCTCGCTTGCTGCGGCGTATGGAGTCTCTGAGGGTCTTACGGGCTCCCTCTTGGGCGGGGGAGCCGTCTGCCGCTTCTTTGTAGGCCTTGTGGGCTGCTTTGCACTTTTCCGACCACCATGGTGCACTGTGGCCGTTCTGGTGTCTGGTCTTGCCGGCCCCCTCTATGGCTTGTTTGAAGAGGTCCTGCAGGGCCTTGGCGCATTCGTCAAGGTTGGTTTCTGACGGTGTGGTCAGGTCGACCGTGGGGAGGGTCCAAGCGAAGGAGCGCATGAGTTGGCCGAAGTCTTCCCAGCATTCCAACGGGACGTATTTTTTCCCTGCCCCCGGGGTTGTCCTGAGGGGCTCGGGCAGGTTCGTGATCACTGTGTAGTGGTCCGACCCTGTGTTGAGGGAGTGTTCGACCCTGGTTGACGCAGGGCAGTTTGTGAAGACCAGGTCGATGCACTTTCCCGAGTGTCGGGTGGGCGTGTCTATTAGAGCTGGGAGGAGATCGTGCTTCTCCGCCCATTCCGCGATTTTGTTGCCTGCNGGGTCCGCGCCCCTGCCCGGTTCCCAAAGTTGGTGTGAGGCGTTGAAGTCGCCTGCGATGATTGAGCGGGGGGGGGGAGGGCCCCATTTAGTGAGGGTCTCTGTGGCTGAGTCTGCCGAAGCCCTTCGGTAGACGTTGACGATGGTGTAACCGCATACCTCTATCCAACATACGCATCCGTCCTCCAGGCCTGGGGGAGAGAGTTGTTTGCTGGGGAGGTTCGGAGAGATTCTAACGAATGTGAGAACTGAGGGTCTGGCGTCCCTCCAGCTGTTCAGGGGGTTGTATGCTTGATATCCAGGATGATTCTTGGTTTGCCTTCTGTTCGACACCCTGTCCCATTGGGCGTAGGGTTCCTGGATCAGCACAATGTCGTAGCCACCTTCCCATGCCAGCGATAGGGCGATGTCCTGGTATGGACCGCTCCTCCCGACGTTGGCTTGGAAGATTTTGAGGCCAGTGTTTCTTCGGCGGCTGCGACGGGGCCTATCGTTCATAGGCTCGCATCGAGGGGTCCGTCAGTTCCGGGGGGAGCGTCAAGCATGTTTTCGTCCCCTTCTGTCTCTACGTCCTCCTCCTCGCTGTCCGGGCCGGCCACGTGGACTGCCGACCTGGCGGGGGAGGCTCCCTCGTGGGGGTCCTCCTCGTCCGGGTCGACTTCGACTATGACCTTCTTGGCCGGGGCCTGAGGGGGGAAGGGTGGCGCCGAGCTGGATATTGGCAGCCGTATGCGGGGGCCCGTTCGGGTTTCCGGGTTAGACGTTTTCTCGGCATTGGGGGCCGGGGCGGGGGCAGGCTTGGGTTTGGGTGGGTTGGCTTTGTTGTATTCCTGCTGGCCCAATTCCCGGATTGCCTGGAGTTGGGCCCGGGTTGTGTGCACTTTTTCCCCGTTCCTGACCGCCGGTCTAGCAGGGCATTTTAGGGAGTCTGCCGTGTGAGGGCCATTGCAGTTGGCGCACTGCGGGGGGGACGGGCAGTCTGCCATGTTGTCGGTGTGCCTGTATGACGGCCTGCCGCATTTAAGGCACCTTTCTGTTCTGGTGCAGTTCCGGGGATTGTGGAAACCGAGGCACCGTTGGCACTGAGTGACCCGGGGCTGCTGCACCCGGACTTCCGCCGGGTGGGAGATATTGAATAGTCTGAAGCCGGGTTTGACGTTCTCCTTGAACGAGATGAAGTAGCCGCAGGTGTCAAGAGATTCCCCGAAGGGGGCCTTGCGGCAGGCCACTGGTGGGTTCTTGGCCCCAGCCCTGGCGCGCGCCTCCTCGGGGATTAGCGCGTCCGTGGGGTGGGTCCCGCTCATGTCAGTATAAGTTTTCGGCACGCCACGCACGAGGAAGATCTTCCATGTGCATGCTTCTTCGATTTTTAGGTCGTTGCTCTCTGCGGCTGGCTTGAGAGCGATGATTTTGTTCTTGGTGTTTTGATCCTTTGCCCGGAGGGCGAAACCCGATCGGACCTCCTGGAAGTAGGTAATGTCTTCGACGTTGAGTTTCATGAGGCTGATCAGTTCCTGTTTAGCCCCGATGGCCGTCATCTTCCTCCAGACATGGTCTGGCGGGACCCGGATGAAGATGCGGTCATCGGGCTTTTGGTTGCCCGATGTGATTTTGTCTTTGTTCTGTTTTCTGTCAGCGGGGGCCGGCCCCTCGCTGCTGGGAGCAGGATTCTTCTGGGTGTTGCTGTCATTTTGCGGCTTTTTGTTGTGAGTGGTGTTCCGCGACGCGACCTGTGCCCACGTGACCTTGGGGGCCTTCTGGCCCACTTTTCCAGTGGCTGCGGGAGGTCCCGTTGTGGTGGGGTTCTTGGGGCCGTTTGATTTGCCTTCCTCGCTGCGAGATGAGTTGGCTGACGCTGTCTCAGATGGTTGGGCAGCTCTTTCCTTGCTGCCCATTTTTTCAGGGTTTTTGGGCCTCCCCTCTGGGTTGATGTGGGAGGTGACGAAGTTTTCGAGTGCGGTGTTCAGGCATGTTCGGACCTGTTCTGCCACCGCTGAGGAGAGTTGGGATGTGTATTGCGCCAGGCAGGAGTCGATAGCCATAGCTATATTCAATACCACGTCTTGTCTGGCCCGTTGTTGGGCGTTGATCTCGTTGATTTGGCTCATGATTTTGTTTTTGGTGAGTGATTTCCCCTCTTTGCTTGGGTCGGTGGCTTCCTTTGCACCGCTGAAAATGGAGGCGATGAGGCCTCTCGAGGCTGTCTGCGCTGCGGTCGATGTCGCCGCTGTGCTTGGTTTTGCTCTGTTGAAGCTGGGTGTGGGCATTTTGTCCATACCGAGGGCTTCTCCGAAGCGCCTTTTCTTCTTGGGGGTGAAGGGGAGGACCATGACCTCTCCCGTGCTTGGGCCTGAGGGGGTCGTCTCCTTCTGAAATTGAAAGACTGTCGCGGGTCCGGGGGCGACGGGGTTCGTTCTGTTCTGGTTATCCGGAGGGTTTGTAGATGTTGCCATCTCTCCAGAGTCCCCAGATGGGACCGTGAAAGTAAAAAACGAGGTCGTTTTGTCTGATAGCTAGTCAAACAGAGTGAGGGTTTTTGGTGGTTAGGCACCCAAAAGGTGGGGTACCTGTAGATGTAGGAGGGAAGCTTGCCAGCGAGCTGGTGAAAGCCCTGCGTGCCTGTGCAGATGATGGACTCCCGCCTGTGCGTGGCGTTGTCCAGGGCGCCATGTTGTTGCGTGATGCCATCTTCGAGCAGATGACGCTGTCGGACTGGCACGGCGGCTTGCGGCCCAAGGTCGACGGCACCTGGAATCTGCACACCGAGTTCGCGGCACCGAATACTCTGGACTTCTTCGTCATGCTTTCGTCCGTCTCGGGTGTTCTGGGCATCGCTTCGCAGACCAACTATGCCGCTGGTGGCTCGTATGAGGATGCCATGGCGACCTGGAGACAGTCTAAGGGGCTGCCAGGTGTCTCCATTGACCTGGGTCCCATTGCCGACGTTGGCTACGTGGCCGAAACCGCCAAGGTGGCCGAGCGTCTGCGTAAATCTGGAGACTATGTCATGCTAGACGAGAATACTGTACTTCGAGCATTTGAAGCCGCCGTGGCACGACCGCTCGGTGGCCGCCGCCAGATCATTGTCGGCCTCAACGCTGGGCCAGGACCACAATGGGATGCTCACGGTGGCTCACAGCTCGGACGAGATGCTCGCTACGTGAACCTGAAACCCCGGGCCAAAGTGTCCCGTGCGTCTGAGGGTACAGCTGGTGGCAGCGTTTCACTCGCTTCACAGTTGACCGAGGCTGGCTCGCGCGATGAGGCCGCTCGTATCGTTGGCGATGCCATCGCCGACAAACTGGCGAGCATATTCATGATTGATGTGGCAGACATCGACCTCAGCAAGAAGCCGGCTGGTTATGGCGTTGACTCTCTAATTGCCGTCGAACTGCGGAACATGCTCGTCCTTCAAGCAGGCGCTGACGTCTCTATTTTCAATATCTTGCAGGCCGCCTCCCTTGCTGCCCTGGCTGCAGATGTAGCGGCAAAGAGCAGTCATGTTCAAGCGGCTGCTTAGGCGTCTTCATTTTCTTTACTTGTTTTGGACTCGTATAAGGTTGTCTGTTTAGATTGTAATGAAATTTTCGATAGGTAACAAAAGTATTATAAGGCGCAGATTGTATATATGATCTATAAGTTGATTTATTTTGATTTTGATTTTGTTTATTTTATTTATTTGGCTATTCGTTAATCCTATCCTATCCTAACTCCAAATCCTGTTTCAAGACACTACTTCCCTATAGCATCCTTCTCATTGGTCTTGCAGTATGTATTCAGACCCGGCTAATTTACAGGGTGTTATATGTACATTAGTTATGTATGTTAGTTTCCTAATGATTATTTCAGCTGCCACAGCTTATTATACATGCGAATACTGTTATATTCAAACTCGAGAGTGCTGAGATAGTCTTGTGCTAAAATATTGACGTAGCGTAGGCTTCGAAGCAAAAGAAGCAGGATCTCTACCTCTTTGTTGTTGCTGGCAATACTGGCCATGCAACTGGGCATACCGCTTACATTTCCCGAACTCCTAGTATTATTGACAGACTTGGTGTTTCGGATCAAGAAGTCGGCAGCACAGGCAAGTGGATCAGCCATGAACGGATGCAACGCGAAGCAACCAACTGATCTGACCGACCTAGCAAGACGCACCATGTCAACTGCCGCCCGCTCAGCCCGCCATTTGTATGATGTGGCAAGAAGCTGGCGGTCGGCAGTCTTTTGTTGTGGCTGTCTCTGCCAGGGTACGGTCTCTAGAATGCTGTCAAGGTTGATAATCACCTTTTGAGCCAGCATGTATGTGAAGATCACCATGGGGTCGCGGTTGGCCATTGTGAATGCTGCGCTTTGCGCAAGCATCTGGTACCGCTTATCCATAGCCAATACCAATTGCTCGTGCCTTGCCCAGAATTCCTGGGCGCCATCTGCTCCACTGCTGCTGACCAGCGACATGCGTCGATGGGCCATGCAACGACCTTGCAGTGCCGCTAGTACGACACATTCTGCGAATGGTGCAAGTGGTATAATTGTAGAGGCATCAGCCTGAATGTTATCAGCCACGGCGAGTACTTCGGATAGGAAGCACATCTGAACCGGCTGGTTATTCTGGAAACTCTCTTCAGGAGCAGGCAGACGCGTACGGACGGCTTCTTCCTGCAGCGTCAAAGGCCACTCGTTGCGTGAGCAGAGAAAGCGATCAAAGTTAAAAGCCAGCCAGAAAGTTCGTCTCTTCTCTTCAGTAATTGCATATGAAAGATCCTCCTCGTGTTCATCACCGTCGGAGCCATCAAACGGATGTAGCGGCATGTCATCAACGCTGCCGCCGCTGCTACTCTCATCAACATCATAGAGGCGTGCCAATTGCACCAGTCGAAACGCACGTCCGGCCGTGAGCATAGCCTGATGCTCGTCGATACGTAGAAATTCATAGTGTGCTAGGAGGAGCCAGGCCTGGACCAGCTCAAGAGAAATCTGCTGGCCAGCGCAAGACTTATTAGGGTTGAGGTCATTGATGTTGTCGATCGATGTACTACCACTTCTACTTAATTTTCGCGTGTGTTGTGATTCTAGCAGTTGACACGTCTCTTGGTAGAGGGCATCACCAAGACTGTGATATTGTGCCGACTTGGCCGCTGCAACAGTATGCATGGCTGATCGCAGACAGTTTCGAGCAGGGGATGGATTCTCCTGATCGGCCCAACTAAAGTACCGCTGCCGGTGTATCATGGGTAACGTATCATGAACGCGATCAAAATACAGTTGATTTCTGAAATTTGCCGACGGAAGATCCGGGATATTAGCAAACGCAACAAACAGGAACAAGAAGGTCAGGGAAAGGTTTCACTAACAGATCGGCCAAAACCAAATTCGTCCTCTTGAATTCCCCGATAGCCTGGACTGGACTGGCCGGCTCGAGGTCAAACTGTAACATGTCTCCCATGTCTGCCAGCACCCCGGTGCTGTCCATGTCCATGTCCTGCCAGTCCATCAATCCATGGAGGTCAGTGCTTACGTTATGCTCCATGGCCGGAAATGCAGCCATTGTTGCAGTCGTACTCGCACTTGTGGTTGGTGGTACGACATCGTTTGACGCAGAGGAAGAGAAGATGATGGATGTTGCGGTCGACGATGCAGGTGTCACAGTTTGAAGGGCCGATGTACTCAACAGATGTGAGGTATTGCTTGTATCATCAACATCGAGTGTAAGAGGCGGGATGGTGGTTGCAGTGGTGCTACCACATAGAGCATCTGTTGGTGTCGGTTCCGCTGTCTTGGGTCTATTGACTTGCTTCCCAAGTTGCCACTCCAGTTCGGCTAATAGAGCAGCTGACATTAATGCAACGTCCTTCAATGTAACCCCCTCCAAGCTCCCGGATTCCATGGATTCCATGGAAACATCATGAGTCATGCAGGATAGGGAGGGGCTTGGCAGAAACAAGAGAACACACTCACCAATCCGTGTCCGCATCTCATCCAGCTGTCCTTTCTTGGGCCCGCGCTGTGGTCTCTGTTCAATCACCACACAGGTGACTCCCATCTCTGCGCAGAGACTGCATTCTGGACGGACGCGGTCACATCTTGCTTTGCGCCTCCGGCAGTTTTCACAAGCGAATCCTGCTTGTTGCCGGAAACCTTTCGTTTTCATGGTGGATCGTTGATAATGTTGAATGGCAACACAGCGTTGCTTATGAGAGTGAAGATGATGGGATGATCACAGGACGTGCAACGTCGTAGTAGTAGCCATTGGATGCCCACCACGGCAGCTAAATCTTGATAGGCTGGATATAACTTAAAAATATGAAATTCGACGTCCTCTGGCCAATTGTGGCATACTAATCACTATTTGGATACACAGGACTGCGTGAGATCTGCGCGGGATCTACGTCTCTTTTTCTATCGCACCAACAAGACAAATTCTAGCTTGCTGTGCCTCATCGTTTCACAACCACCACTACGCAATCGCAAGCACGCAAGGGTTAGTGGTGTGCGGCAACTGCTCGACAAGGAATAGACGATAATAATCCTTCGAGAGGCCCCTTGATTTGCACCGAGTCTTACGGCATCAAGTCAGATTCAATTGAACGCCTCCAAGCAAGCAGTGAGATACAAGATGGGTAAGGCACCAATTATCATCTTACCTTGTATACGAGCTGGTAAATAAACTCGGCCAGAATACCCAACTTGGAGTTTGTTGATAACGCCATTCAAGCAAGTGAATCATACCCGAATTACTCTAGTACATGACAGTTTTAAACCATGTCATCTTTTTTCCAAATCTGTAACTCTTACTGGCTAATATTGCAGTCTTGACTTCTTCGCAGACATATTTCGAGTATGCAAAACGGTATCTCGGATGTATATTATCTAACATAGTTACCACGTTACATATTTGTTGTATAAGTCTTTTCGAAAAAAAAGCAATTTGTTTTATTTATTTGCTGTTGCTTTGTTCTTATTCGAGCATACCAACGTGTTTGCCTGGATGTAGTGCTTCACTGCCCCTGCCCCTGTCCCTGTCCCGATGCCCTGGTCGTTTTATATTCATGCCTGCAATAGGATTATGTCGTCCAGAGGCCTGCATCGGCTAAAATGGTCCCCCCAGTCAGCGCTTCAAGCTCTGGCCAACGGCATGGCGGCATAGACGCTCTGAAAGATCTAAAGCGATCCTTTTGAGCCCACACATCATCCCACCACGCACCCGACAAGGCATCCTTTAGCAAAAATAACGCATCCTTAGCTCCCCGCCAATCCATGCCCTGGTTTTGAGTAGATTGTGCCTCTTTGATGGCCCATTGGCCGCAGATTAGTTATCCATTCGCAACCCACACCTCACACACCTCCCGTCGAGGAAAATGCTACATCAACACAAGCAGCTGAAGGGATGACACGAGGAGAACCAGGAAAAGCCAGGCAGCCAGGGTTATGACGGAAGCCGTGCCATCCCTGCATCTGCACTCCGGCTTCCAATTATCACCTTGCCACTTCTATAACCCTAGCAAACGTGCACTTATTAATAATCTACGGAGGCATCAGCGGCGATCAGCGGCGATCACCGGCGATCACCGGCCGCGTTTCGACAAGTTGATGGCGTTTAGAATCTAGTTTTGTATAAACAGCGTGGGGCTGCCAAAAACATAAATGCTCCGGCTAGCGTTGTTTGCTAAATTGGGCTCCCATGTCGACATTAGATAAGAAGTAGGAACCGGATTCTGAGACTCCGTCGTCTTCTTGTCAGCGAAGTAGGGTGGGCCCCACCGGTATCTAGATTCCTGAGTATTCCGGTTATGCATAGCTTAAGACATTCGATCGACGATCGTCGAGATGGATAATGTGATGTTAGTGCTGATGAAGGAATTCCGGCTCCGACCCGGCCGGCACTAAGTGTTGAATCAGCCCAGACAAACGAACGCTGAACCTATCTCCGCCATTATCAATACTTTACTACTTTTGTGTTGTATATTATAAAAGACAAAAAATTACATGGATCAGAGAATATGAATTATTTACATATTTAGAAAATCTTGTAGAGATATAAGAATTCTGTCCGTATTTCTTCCAGAGCCCCATGTACGTCATATGAATCACCGTGAGTTGGACAAAGCCACCTACGCCAAGGGAGCTACCTAAGCCAAGAGTTTCAAGCTACATATCCATTGTATTTAGAGAATCCTTTAGAGTCACCAACTACCTTCCTTCGTGCCTTCAAAAATACTACGCTGACAGGACTAGTACATGTGGAGTCCGTGGAGCACTGGAGTCCGTTAAGTCCTAACAAGCACGAGCATGTGTTCTTTGTTCCTGCGCGGAGTTAATTGATTTGCATCTGGATTATAAAGCCAAGCATTACTAGCATGTAAGACTATCCTAACTTTCATCCGGGAGGTTCATGCTTATGCAGCTCCGGCAGGAATCAATACCATGTAATGAGGACATCAACTAGCATGGTTCTATAATTCTTAATTGAGTCCCATGCGGCGAACGCACGGCATTATTTAGCCCAATCAAGATAAACGAAAACAGAAACGAGACGACGCACGGTTTCCGTCTAGTCGTATATCCGCGCCCGATTTCCGTGTTATCATATAGCGGCGCCGGCTGCTAAACTCCAACCGCTGTCCCGACATCATTATCCAACAATCACATGCTTTTGCGCTCATCCACGTTACACAGCCGTGGCTTAACACCTATCTTGCAAATACAGCAATGTCCCAGTCTCCAGAGAACAAGGCGGCCTGGTTGCCAGCCTCCAAAGTCACGCCGCTTGAGATTGGCCCAGCGCCTTACACAGCACCTGGGCCCCGCCAGATTGTGGTGAAGAATGGCGCTCTGGGCATTAATTCGGTCGACTGGGCAAAGCAATTGCTTGGCGAAGGCTTGTTGGGCTATCTGAGCTATCCATTCATCCTTGGAGAAGATGTGGCCGGCACCGTTGTCGAGGTGGGCGAGGGCGTAAAGCGCTTCCGCGTCGGCGATCGTGTCGTGGCCACGGCTTCTGCCATCTCTGTCAACAACACCCTCGAGGGCGGATTTCAACTATACACGCCCATACGCGAGTGGATGGCCGCACCGCTGCCAGACTCCATTTCCTTTGAGCAAGCTAGTGTGCTCCCGCTAGCAATCCTCACGGCTTCTCACGGCCTGTTTGATACCGACTACCTCGGCTTGGACTTGCCCACTGTTCCTGCGCGTCAGCCTAGCAACGGCAAACGAGCCGTCGTCATCACCGGTGGAGCATCAGTTGTTGGCAGCACCGCCATCCAGCTCGCGGTTTCTGCCGGCTATGACGTTGTATCGACGGCGTCGCCGAAGAACTTCGAATACGTCAAGGCTCTCGGTGCCATGCACGTGTTTGACTACAAGAGCGACACCGTCGTCGACGATATCTCTGCCGCCGTGAAGGGCCTCCATCTTGCTGGTGGCTATTCCATTGGTGACGGCTCCGTCAAACTGCTGGCGACCGTTCTAGCCCAGCACGAAGGCCCGTCTACCAACAAATTCATTGCTCTCGCAGGCGGCCAAGGAGAAGGCACCAATGACCCGAGTATTGAGGTCAAGTTTATCCTTCTCGGTCCGGATTCCGTTGGTCCTGACTCTATCACGGGCAAAGTGTACACGGATTTCCTTCCGGATGCACTCGCCAAGGGACAGTTTGTGCCAGCACCCGACGCGACTGTCGTGGGCAAAGGGCTGGAAAAGATCCAAGAGGCTTTTGGAGTTCACATGCAGGGCGTTTCGGCGAAGAAGATTGTTGTGTCACTATGAGAACAGATGATTCTTGTATAGAGGTTATCTACTAGTAGCTATCTAGATAGAAATTAAAACCCTTGAACTATGATTATGCTACTAGATATCAAACAAGCAATATTTGATTACCTATGCTGTCCTCTGCTTACGTTCCAAGCGGATGACAGAAAACCCGAGGTCGAGAAGAATTCGAACACCCACGAGTTGAATCATACACCTATAAGGGGAGTAGCTGCTATATCTACATTTCCCTAATAACTACTACTATATTTATATTTCCCTAATAACTACTATTATATTTATATTTCCCTAGTAACTACTACTAGATCTATATTTCTCTAGTAACCGCCGCTATATTTATACAATAAAATTGGTATGCAAGCTGTAGTTAATTGATAAATTAATGTAACGCTAATCCAGCCTGATGACATTGGTCGATCATAATGATACATTTGAATAGCTGAAACATTATCATTTATCAAATAGCTGTCAACTTATAACGACAAATCCTAACCTTTGTATATTTTACTCTTCTTTTGATGCGTCATTCTTTGCCATTATGGCTAGTCCATGCACAAAAATAAATATTAATCAAAGAGAGAAAGAAAACTGCTGGGAAGAAAATTGAGAAAATTCAATGTTGGCTTATTATTGCCAATACATGCGCTGCCAATCTATTATCCTTATACAACTACCTAGGGAACACTAATTCCCGGGAGAGAGTTGTCTGCTCATTTTAACTGCATACCAAAATATATACTCAGCTTCCCCCTCACAGCGCAGCCAATTACTCGGCGGCCAAATCCTCATTATCTTTGCTCTCAGGCGCAGCTGGAGAAGGGTCCGCCTTAATGGCCTGTAGCTGCTTCACCTTCCGGATATCAACCCAGCCCAAGCCCCAGCCAAAAGCAAAGGTGGCGACACTGACTCCGATACCGAGATACATGACATGGCTAATTGCCGTGGTATAGCACTTGAGAGCGGCTGTGAGTCTATCGCCGGTAACGATGCTTCGGATGGTGGTGGCTCCGGTACTGAGAATGATGTCTGGGTTGACGCCGATCTCGTTGATGTGCTTTTGGAGCTCTTTCCGTAGGCCATTGGTGAAGATGGTGTTGGCAGCAACAAGGAAGACTGCACCTCCCATATTTTGACAAAAGATTATGATGGCCATGGCAATAGGGATTTGTGGAGGTGGGATAAGATTTTGAATAGCGATGTAGGGCTTCAGACAAAAAAACAGTAGTTAGCAAAAAGAAACTAGATATACAGGGAAGGAGATTGAGTGATAGGCAGTTTACTCACCGCCGAGCTCATAGCACCACTGCCAACACCATAGAGAACCTGGTATCCAAGCCATTTCGAGGACGAAGTTGTAGGCTTTATCATAGACATGAGGCCATAACCAATGGCGGCAAAGGAACTCCCTCCCAAGTTCCAGGGGAGGTAATATCCAAAGATCTCAGCTGCGAATTATTAGCTTGATGGTTTCCAGAAGAACAATTGTAAAAGGTAGAGAAAGGACAAAACTAACTGAACATTCCAGAAAGCATGGTGAAAAGGACCAATCCCAGCGTCGTCGGCAGCAAGTGCACACCACTCATGATGGGGGTGTTGTCGAGTACGGTTTGGAAGTAAATCGCGAGATAATATTCAGCCACCAAAATAGCTCCAAGAAGGAAGAACAGATTGGCTGCAGCAGACCAGACAATACGCTTCTTGATCATGGCAAATGGCAGCATGGCGTTGTCGCCTTGGTAGTATTCCCAGACGAGGAAGACGATGAATGTGACGCCAGCGCCGACCAAAAGGCCAATGACAACAGAGCTGTTCCATGGGTGCAAGGTGCCACCGTATTGCAATCCAAGCAAAAACATGACAGCCGCGGGGCTGATGAGGAAGAAGCCTGGAAGATCCAGAGATTTGAAGGCTGTGCCGAGGACTTGTCTCGGGGGCAGCTTGTTTATCGTCTCGGGGATGTTAACGAAAAGCAGAAGAATGGCCAGAGCACCGCCAATTGGAAGGTTGACGTAAAAGCCTGTAGCAAGTATCAGTGATGCAAATTCAGGAGTTCACACAAGCAAGACAGCCAAATCACTTACACCATCGCCATGTGACATTTTGGGTGAACGAACCGCCAATGATGGGCCCCAAAGCAATACCGAGCTGCCCAATGCCCAAGTTGATACCCAGGAATTGAGCTTGCTTCCTAGGAGGTAGCACAGCCGAGATGATGGTCAGGGCACCGTTTCCAATACCAGACGATCCGGCACCAGCAATCGCTCTGCCGACGATAAACATTGGCGACGAGACGGCCGCTCCACAAATAGCAGATCCAACTTCGAAGATGAAAAAGAATACGAGGAATGACCACTATATCCAAAGTTAGAAAATTGTGCCTCTTTTTTGCCTTATTTTGCCCATTGTGGTTTCAATTCTTTTGTTTTACTCCCTTTACTTCCAATTTCTTTTCTCCTCCCTTAAAAAATTTTTCCCTTGTCATATCTCTTCTTGAGAAAGTCAAAAATCACCCACCTTGATATTGAAATGGCTGTAAATCTTGCCAGTGAGCGGCTGGAGAGCCGAACTCCCAAGCTGATACGCGCCACCATACCAACCCACGTCAATCAGAGAATTGAATCGCGCCGTAATAGCGGGCGTTGCAGTAGACACCACACACATGTCGAGAAAGACGAGAAAGTATGCAATCGTAACAGGCGCGAGGATAGACCACAAGACTGCGCCACTGGGATACTTGCTGTCGTCCTCTGCAATCTCGTTCCCGGAGGTAGTGCCATCGGATCCGTACTTTTCGACATCGCCATTCTTCTCTGTGAGCACTTCGCCCGTTTCCACGGATTTTTTGGAGTCAGCCATGGTTCACTGTTGTGATTGCTGTTACAGTGATGGCTTTAGAATTGACTCTTGCTCTCTCGACCCTGATACCAAAATAATGGTCAGTGGCTGTCGAGAAAGGACGTATAACTCAGCGTGCTAGCTTAGTTGTACCATATATAACCAAAGGTGAGAAAAACACATTTGTCAACTTGAATCAGTACAAAGCAATTGAAGTCAGAAAAATGCCATTGTTCGCGTTGCATGAGGCGGAATCTCTCGACCGAGCGAATGCAACTGACTGACAAACTGCTGTCGGTGCTGTAAGTCGGAACCGGAATCTGAAATCCGGTTCTTAGTCTCAAGGGAGATCGACAGGGTCCACCACCAACCGGACTGACGGACTTTGACACCGGTTCGGCACTAACAGGGATTTTATGCAGGCATCTCCCGGCCAATCAGGCACTGAGGTGTGCTAAGACATTAATACTCCGATATTGATTACATTAATAATCCGGCACTGAGTTGATAGGATGAAGTACGAGAGCGGCGAGGCTTTCTTACACACTGTTGGTGGTGTCCTAGATGGCCTAGAACCCTGATGGCCCGGCTGTTCATTGTTGAAAGCCAGATATCAGATTCGAGCGATGGATGGCTTACAAAACCAAATGCCGTGATAGTGAGCTTACAAACCCAAGGCTGCAAACGTCCGGTAACGAAACTCCGACCTGCATGCAGCTCTCCCAAGCCACTTATCGTGGATAGATTTGTTGCCTGCTGAGTCATTACAGCAGGGTCCGGGGGTGCAGTTCTTTACGTGTATTCAGGCAAGTCAGCTATCGTATCACTATGTCGAAAAGTAGAAGGTAGAAGCAAGACAGTGAATGTATGGTATCTATCAAATGAAAATACTGTGTCAGATCCAGTCCTGTATATGCGCCCCCATAGCTGTGTGTAAGCTTATGGTGTAGATATCGTTGATATCGTTTAATCTTTAAAATCAACGAAGAATTGATCAAGCCATAACGTAGGGCTCATCAGGTATCCCGCCTCTTGACCATATGTCAACGCCTCTGAGTTTGTATCCGTAACCGTAGCTGTAGTCGTAACCGCACCATCTCTCTCTTCTGCTTCTCTCCGTGACTCTTCCTGCTGGACCAGGAATCCTCTATCGTGATAATCCGGCTTATATGATCGTAGTCCGCGGGCTAGTTGGGCGAACACGCCATCGGCTGACATTGGGTGCTCACCAGCTTCTGCAGCGGCCAGCTCTAGCTTATCCGCCATGCAGGATATCAGAACGGGCAGATTAACGAGGTCCCTTAGAGCGGCCGGATCCCAGCCCGGCTCCTGGTATGCGCTAAGTTGATGCAGGGTGGCCACACATCGTGCCAGCTGGGCCCACTGGATGAAGGAGACGCCAAGGAGTCCAGACGGCGAAAGAGTCAGAAAGGTCGATGTACATGACTTGATTGCGAGTGCCGACTGCCAATAGCAAGACAGACGCGTAGGCCCACATGTTGGTGGTGGTGGCCTCGCCGGTGGTCCATGAGTAGATGGCGGGACGTGGATTGTGTCGATAATGCACATTTCCGTGTAGTATGTTTGAGCTAGGAGAACTGCTATTCAATTAGCAACTATTACTTGATTACATTGTAGAACTTATGCTAGATTGAGCTAGAAACTTACCAAAGTGTTGCTGGAATGCCTGAGGAACAGACGCCCGGACTTCTTGCAGCTGCCCCATGAGCCCCTTGATGCACAAGAGAGCTTGAGGTGAAAGTGTCTCCGGTGGAGGGTGGTCCGGCAGTTGGGCACGCTCCCGAACCTGAGTGGCCTTCATAGCAAGTAGCTGAAGGCGGACCTGAATAGCCAGGGCAGCATCAGACACACCCTCTGCACCCACACTGCTGCTGCCGCTAGCGGTAATGGCAGCTAGACCCTCGTCCATCTGAGTCACCCACCGTGGCGCATCAACCTGGGAGAAGTAGGCTGAGACGGCCGATCCAAGCACAAAGCAGCCTAGAATGGCTCGCTGCCGCTCAAGGTAGAGCCGAGCATTAGTCCACCCAGCACCTAATACCGTTGCCGCTGTAATCGTAGTGGCCGTCGTGTTGCTGTACACATCGTCAAACCCACCTCTTGGTTCGAGTTGGCTTATTGTGTGCGTAATATCTGGTGCTGTTTGGTCCAGAGAACGCAACTCCCCGGCCAACGATGTAGCCACCGCCATGAGGCGAGACAGACTGCGACGGCTGTGTAGGTGCTCCCAGCCCCATGCAATAAAGACGAGAAGACCTAGAAGCAAGTCGATTGTTTGTTGCGGTTGGTGCTGTTTCTGGTGCGGCGACAGTTGTAGAAATGCCATTTCGCACAGCACACGTTTTAGCTCGAGGGAGCTTTCCCTCTTGTCCTCTGACGACGCTGAAGTCACGCAAACAATGGCGCGGAACAGAAAGGGCCGCTCTATCCGCAGCTGCTCAGCCGTGAGGTGGGTGGGCAAGTGAACAAAGGGGAAGTGATGCAGCATTCGCGATCGGAATGTGTCGAGAGAGACTGATGCAGATGGCGGAGATACAGACGGCGACATGAACGCGTCCAACACCGTCGATGGCGGGGTAGTCAGAGAGATGCTGTTGGCATTGAACCCATTTGTATTGTCCGTTGCCCACCAAGGAGCAGCGACACCGGTGACGCAAGTCCCGGTGTGCTCGTCTTCGTCGTTGAAAGAGTTGCGCGGTTCTTCCACAGTGTCGCTTCTTCCGGACCCTTCTGCGACCACATCTTGGTAAGTGACGCTGGGAGGGGTCTGCATCAGCGTCGTCGCGTGATGCTCAGTCGCCTCGGCTTCGAGCATTGACTGCGACTGTGGCATTTGTTGCTGCTCTTGGTGTTGATGTTGGTCTTGCTGTGGTGGTGAATTCTGCTGCTGCTGCTGCTGCTGATGCTGCTGATGCGACCATAGGCTGACTCTGTCGCCCTGAATGTCGCTCATGTTTCCCATATTGCCCACGTTTCCTATACTGTTCATAATATCCACGTTGACGTTGCCCGCTTGGAGTAGCGACACCAGCTGGCCAAGCGTGCCCTCTAGTTTGGCGATGCGATCGTCGGGCGAGTTCTGCTTCTTATCGCTGCGCCTCCGTAGCACGTCGGCTGGATGACATGGTCGCTTGAGACGGTGACACCTATTTATCATATCCGATTGTGTCAACGAGTGCCAACGGATCCAGGTTTGCCAGCCGCCAAACCCAAGCCCAGAACGAAGCCCAGACTGACCTTTCGCATCCGCTGCCTTCAAGGCGAGGAATGCACTTGCATTTGGTCTTGAAGCAGCTCAAGCACGCTTGGCCATAAGGCGCCGAGCGGCCAGCTGTTCTCACCATTGCGGTAATCTTTCCGACTCGGGATCGGAGTAATTATTGACGTCGATGCAATTCTTTGCGGCGATTGAGCTTGGATGTTGGAAGCTGACATGTTCTTGTTAGGATGTGGGTAAGGCTGCTGCTGTACGGTAATGGCGGCACATATCATCTCACACACGGGCCACACCTAAACCTAAGGCACATGAAAAGAAGCGTTACCAGTCAATAAACACAATTTTAACCACTATAGTTACAAGTTTGTAAACTGTTAGTGGTATAGCTAGTAAATAATTTAAAATAGAAATATTCCTGATTATGTTAATAAAATAGTATTTAACTACACATATGTTACAATATTGTTTTTGTTAATCAATATGTAACAGTACGGTCAATTTAAGATTGTCTTTATGCTTTCCACTATCATATTTTAGTACATCTACCTAGCACTTAGCCCATAGCTCTAAAGTACTGTGATTAAGCCTACCCTAGACTTGAACAAACATTTTTATCAGCATGCTTCAATGCATTATATACCGCCTTTGCGACCGAATCTTTATTGTTTGTTGAATCCTACGTTCTACATCTGTGATCCTTAGACCTGGCAGCATTCCGATTCCGGTGGGTGTTGTCTAGACACATGTAGAGAGCTGTCTTGCATCATTGGCAGAATCGCCTGGAAAATCAGCACACCTAGACAAATCTCACCACATCTTTACTTCGGTACTAGGTATGTACCGTCTAATACAAAGCGAACGGGCTCCGGGCTTATTTCGTTGTTGCTTATGGCCCTGGCTGCTGGTAAATGCTGCAGAGCCACTTAAATTGTCCGTGCACATGCACATGTACTTCAATTTTGCCATGCAGCATCTGGGATAATTTGTACCTAGCTTACTTGCCAAATAGGACAAAACGCTTCTTAAGCTGCTGCAGCTCTTATCTCTGTTACTATCTTCTCAACATCATAGTCCCACACGGTTCGGGAAGCTCGCTCAAGCTTCAACTTGCTCCTCTCGGCGTCTCTCCCCGTTGGGCCATATCGCCACTGATAGATCTCGCCCAACTCGCGTGAGCTTCTCACAACCCACTGGCCACGATCTATCCTTGCCAGGCTGTAAGCTTGTAGTGCGTGCTCAATGGCCTCTCTCTGGTTATGATTGCCACCGTCACCATAACTGTTATCACTGGCCTGTACCGCAGCCAAGGCCTCGCAGAGCACAAGGGCGTCTTCAACGCCGATGCAGGCTCCGACGCCCTGGAATGGACTGCTGGCATGGGCAGCGTCACCAGCAAGACAGACGCGGCCACGTGCGTATGTTGGGGCCGGGTTTCCATCCATGTCAAAGATCCCCCACTTGACCATGTTGTCGGGGAAGAGCTTGGTAAGTTCTACCAGATGCGGACCCCAACCGACGACGACGCGCTCGAGCTCTTCTCGTGTGCCCGGAGCCGTCATTTTCTCCGGGTCAGGAAATTCTGACGATTCGTGGGCAAAGAAGGCAACGTTCAGAAGAGTTCCATTCATGACCTGTGAACAATTTATGTCAGCCGAGACGATCTTGGAGCTGGATATCGAACCATTCAAAGGTGCCGGCTTAGACTGACAGGGTAAGACATCATGTTGGCGTTAGGACCACAGTGCATACACGCTCTCTTTGCCTTGTCCTCACCAAGGGCAGCAATGCCGGCTTCGATGGGCAGCATGGTGCGGTAGGCGACTGTGTGAGTGTAGCTTGGCCGAGTGGCTGGATGTTGAGCCCCGAGAAGCGTCTTTCGGGTGGTCGAGTGGATGCCGTCGCATCCAAGCACGACGTCTGCCTCGGCGGTGCTTCCGTCGGCGAAATGCAGAACAACTTTTTCTTTTTCATCGTTGTCATCATAGCTCACGAGCTGCTTCCCAAACTTGGCTACGCCCTCGGGTAGTAAGCCGACCATGCCCAGCAGGAATTGCGAGCGTACACAACCCCAGAAGGCGAGCTTGTTTCCGGGCAGCTGAAAGAGCAGCGACGTCGACTCATCCTCGGCTTCCTGCTTTGTCTGTGGGTGGTAGGCGTTCCAGTAGGTTGTGCTTGAGTCGTTGGGGTCCGTCTTCTGACTGATGCGACCCAGCACATCGAGGATGCCGGGATCCAAGCGCTGCATGCACTCTCGGGCCACGCCGGTAAATGCAAAGCCAGCGCTAATCTCATGCCAGTTGGACGAGCGTTCGTAGATAGTTACCTTGATGCCTCGGCGGATGAGACCGAGCGCTGTCATGACACCGACGACGCCACCCCCTACAACGGCCACCTCCAGAGAGGGCGTTGTGGTGCTGTTATTGCTTGTCATTGTGCTTAACCGCAATCTAGAAGCTTGTCAGATAGGAAGTTGAACCAATTGGACATGATAAATAATGAGTTACGGTACAATGTACTCGTAGATTTGCCATCATGGAGGGATACGAGTCGTATGATGACAACAAATTCAAGTCCTAGAGGCATTATACAATAATACAACAAATTACACAGATATAACAGCCTAACCAAAAGGGGTGAGCTGAAGATAATCGGCGGAGTTTAGATCCTCCTTGCTCTTGGGTTGAGAAATCTCAGCCGGTGGCTCCGCGCGGACTTTCGGATAAAATATCATGTAGAGATAACAATCGCACAAAGAGAAAAAAAAATCAGCACAAGACAACGTATTACCTATCTCCGATAGTAATTTTACTGATCAAATCCAAGGAGCAATGATGTGTAAGACTTTCTGTAGCATGATTGAGCGCTTCATATCTCGAGTTACTATAGATATAGTTCTGCCGTGAATCGAATCGATCGAGGCACACCAACCAAGTTACCAAGTAACCGAGTTTGCTGTTCAACAAGTAACCAAGTGTTCTGTTCAACAAGTAACAACTGTTCTATAGCTCGGTTGCCTTTTACTTTTTACCTTTTTCTTCTTCTCCTTTTCACTTGGTACCACCTCGGTAGTCAACTGTACATACTTACACACATTCAAACACAACAATGACTACTTCAACCATTGCATCTTCCGTGGCGGATGCGCCCAAAGCAACAACCTTTGTATTCGGCGGTCACATTGGCACACAAAGCAAAAAATCACTGGAAAAGCCCGTAAAGCAATTCCTCAGCGGACCCAACGCAACATGGATACTAGAGGCCGTCAGTGGGCTGCCGCAGTACTGGGAGACCCTGGTGGAAAAGATCCCGGAGATCGCCGGCGCAGTCTCAGGTGCTGAATTACTCAAGGACTTCGACTCATGGCTGCGAAACGGCATCTCGGAGGGCGATCTGCTTGCGCCCGAGACAGAGCTGCCTAACATTCTCATTGGGCCGCTGATGGTGGCCATCCAGCTGGACCAGTACTGGCGGTATCTGGAGTTTCGGCTGGATGATGTTGCCATCTCAGATCCTCAAGCAGAACTCGTTAAACAACAACAGCAACAGCAGCAGCAACAGACCACTACCCGTCCTGTGGAAACTCTAGGTTTCTGCGCTGGCCTCATCAGCGCCGTAGCAGTGGCGAGCTCCCACGACAGGGCTGAGTTTGAAAAGTACGGTGCCGTAGCAGTGCGCATCGGCATGCTCATGGCAGCTCTGGTAGACGCGCGTGAGTCCCGAGACGAAGCTAGAGGTATGGGCGGATCGGTGTCGTTTGGAACAGCGTGGCGAAGCGGCACCAAGCAAGGCAACGACATGACAAGCATCGTGTCATCGCTGACGCCAGACGCATATGTATCGGTGCTCTTTGATGAGGCGCGCGCTACAGTGTCAACTTCTGAGCGTGTAGCTCCCACGCTGGTGCGGAGACTCCGAGCTGCCGGCGTGACGGCGGTTCCACTCCCATTCAAGGGCCACATGCACACGCCGGGGGTGGAGCGGAAGCGGCAGACGGAGGCGCTGATCGAGCTCTGCCGGGTGGGGCCGAACAGCGCCGGGCTTCAGTTCCCGGCGGCCGCCCAACTTGCACTGCCGACATTCAGCAACTCGGCAGACGGGTCTCATGTATCTCCTGACGAGACGGATCTCACTGGAATGCTGCTGCGGGCGATTTTGACGCAGCAGTTCAACTGGGCCGGGACGATGTCGAAGCTGCTGTCGGCGTCGGCGATGGCGCATAAGGAGGTATCTCTGGTAGCTTTCGGGCTGGACCAGTGCATTCCGCCAACAATAACGCGCAAGTTTGGGCCGAAGCAGGCACACTACGAGCAGCTGGAGAGCCACATCGAGAGTTGGAAGCTCCAGAAGATCTCGTCATTGGCTTTGGCTACGGCCAAGACGGCGGCCCCACCTACGGTCAACGGCCCCACCTTAGCAGTTAAGGATGAACCTCGAACATCAGTAACCCTAGGAAAATCTAACGAGGAAGTCATCGCCATTGTGGGCATGTCTATTAAAGCGTCCGGGGCGGATGACCTCGAGGAGTTCGCAGCGATGCTAAAAACGGGCAAGTCGCAGCATGAGCTGATCACGCCGGAGAGAATGACGCCAGATATGCTCTTCCGGGAGGCAGAGGAGGACCCGAAGAAGAAGAAGAGCTACTACGGTAATTTCTTACGGGACTCAGATGCTTTTGACCACAAATTCTTCAAGAGAAGTCCCAGGGAGTCACAAGCGATGGACCCGCAATGCCGCCTAGCGATGCAGGTAGCTTACCAGGCGGTCGAGCAGTCTGGCTACTTCACGGAGCCCAAGTTAACGAGCAAAGAACAAGAACACGTCGGTGCCTACCTGGGCGTGTGCGGCGTTGATTACGAGCAGAACACAGCCTGCCATGCAGCGAGCGCATTCACTGCTACGGGCGCTCTACGTAGTTTTATTACTGGTCGGATCGCACACTTCTTTGGCTGGACGGGTCCCGCAATGACATTCGACACGGCTTGTTCGTCGTCAACAGTGGCTTTGCACACGGCCTGTCGCGACCTGCTGTCTGGTGAGGCGACTTCTGCATTAGTTGGAGGTGTTAATATTATGACGAGCATGCAATGGATGCAGAACCTCAGTGCCGGCAGCTTCCTCAGTCCGACGGGTCAATGCAAGCCGTTTGACGCTGATGCCGACGGTTACTGCAGAGGAGAGGGAGTCGCTTTCGTTTTCCTCAAGAAGCTGTCGGAAGCTGAGGCCGCCGGCAACACGGTGCTGGGCACGATCCGGGCGACAGCGGTATACCAGAACCTCAATATCACGCCGCTGTTCGTGCCCAACGTGCCATCACTTTCACAGTTGTTCAAGGATGTGATCCGCAAGGCCGGCGTCGATCCGGCCGAAATTTCCTTGGTTGAGGCCCACGGCACCGGCACAGCGGTTGGCGACCCGGCCGAGTATGAGAGTGTCAAACTGGCGCTGGCTAGCCCGCACCGTGATACTGTCGTGCCCATCGGCTCAGTTAAAGGCCATGTAGGTCACACAGAGGGTGCGTCTGGAATGATTGCACTAGTTAAGGTGCTCATGATGATGCGCGACAACTTCATCCCACCCCAGGCCAGCTTCACACGTATGAATCCGCATACCCACGCCTCGCCGGCCGACATGATGGAGGTGGTGACCGAGCTACGGCCGTGGACCGCCGAACGTAAGATCGCTCTGCTTAACAACTACGGCGCCTGCGGTTCCAATGCCAGTGTTGTCATCGACTACTCGGCTCCTAAGGCTTTAGACAACCGCCTGCAAGCTCAGACGGCGACAGAAACCCGGCAGCCCTTCTGGATCCCCGGATTCGACGCCCGCAGTATCGCCGCCTACAGCAAGGCACTATCTACATACCTCCGTGGCCGCACCGGTGACAAGAAGGTAAACCTGGCCGACGTGGCGTTTAACCTGGCCCGCCAGACAAATCCCAGCTTGCCTCAGGGGTTGATTTTCAGCTGTCAGTCACTAGAAGAGCTACAGGGAAAGCTGGCTCAGGCTGCTGCGGCCACTAAAGAAACAGCTGCTGCCGCCGGCATCGTAGTCTCCAAAGCAGAGCGGCCGGTCGTGCTGTGCTTCGGTGGCCAAGTTTCGACGTTTGTCGGACTGGACCGCGCGTTATACGAGAAGGTCGCCGTCTTGCGGCACCATCTGGATGCTTGCGATGCGGCTGCCACGGCGGCAGGATTATCCAGCATTTTCCCTGCCATCTTTTCACGCGAGCCCATCCGTGATACCGTCCAGCTACAGACGGCGTTGTTCGCCATGCAGTATGCTAGCGCCCGGACGTGGATGGACTGTGGGCTGGCTACGAAGATCGTGTCCGTTGTGGGCCACAGCTTCGGCGAGATCACGGCGCTCTGTGTGGCCGGTGTGCTGAGCCTCGAAGACACAGTTCGGCTGGTCGCTGGCCGTGCAAAGCTGGTGCGTGATGCCTGGGGGCCGGATTCAGGGGCAATGATGGCCGTCGAGGCGGATGAGACTGTCGTCCAGGATCTGCTCAAGGAGGCCCACTTGAACGGCGATGGCTCAGCCAGCATCGCTTGCTACAACGGCCCTCGCAGCTTCACACTCGCCGGTACGACCAAGGCCATTGATGCGGTGGCCGCCACTCTTGCTAGCAACAGCAAGTTTTCTGGAGCCGGCATTAAGAGCAAACGGCTCAACGTGACCAATGCTTTCCACTCGGTGCTAGTGGAGCAGCTTGTTGACGATCTTGGAAAAGTCGGCCAGAACCTCAATTTCCATGACGCCGTGATTCCAGTTGAACGGGCCACTGAGCATGAATCAACGGGCTCTCTGGACTGGACCTTTGTGCCATCGCACATGCGCCAGCCTGTCTTCTTCAACCACGCTGTACAGCGACTGGCCAAAAAACACCCACAGGCCATCTTCCTCGAAGCTGGATCAAACTCCACGATCACGGTGATGGCAAGCCGCGCGTTGGCCCAAGTCAATTATGCCAATACACTCGCCTTCCAGGCTGTATCCATCACTAACACTGAAAAGGGCCTCGACGGACTCGCAGATGCCACGGTAGCGCTATGGAGGCAGGGCTTGCGCGTGAACTTCTGGCCTCATCACCACTCCCAGGCGAGCGAGTACGTGCAATTGCTTCTGCCACCATACCAGTTCGAGAAGTCACGCCACTGGCTGGAGGTAAAGTCGCCGCTGGAGGCTGTTACCAAGGCAGCCCAAGCCATGATTGCTGCGTCGGGAGTGTCTACTGTAGGAGTTGGACGTGTTACTGAAGTTGAAGACCCTAAGAAGCTGCCCCTCTGGACATTCATCGGCCACCAGGAGGCCAAAGGAAACAAGAAACTGGCCCGCTTCCGAATCAATACGAGCTCAGACTCGTATCAGCGCTTGTTTGCGTCCCACGTTATTGCCCAGACGGCGCCCATCTGTCCGGCAACACTCGAGATC